TATGTAACTGAGTTTTTTTGCCTCAGGTCAACAGCTAGAAGATAGCAAAGCTAAGACTAAGACTTGAACCTTTCTCATCCCCAAACCCATGCTCTTTCCACAGTGCAAACCTGCCAGAGAAATAAGGAACTTGGAAAATGGGCCAGTTGAGAAACTATTGAAGGAAGAAGTAGTTCACTTTAAAAATGAAAGGAGTGCAGAGGAATCAGGGAGCAGGGAGGGCATTAGGAAGAATAGCTAATGTATGCCAGGCTTAATACCTAGGTGATGGGTTGATAGGTGCAGCAAACCACCATGGCACACGTTTACCTATGTAACCTGCACATCCTACACGTGTACCCCGGAACTTAAAATAAATTTAAAAAAGAAAGGAGTAAATATAAACATGATGTTTTTTCCATATATTAAAATGTGGGCCATTTGGAAGAGGACTAGCCTTGTTCTCTTAGATCCCTATGAATGGAACTAGAGCAGTAGTGTGGCAGTAATTAGAGCAGTTCACATTTATTAACCATTTGCTATAAGTTGACCCCTCTGCACACATTCATTCTTTAAACCTTACTAGCATGAGTGAGGTACAGCACAATGATTGTGCCTGTTTCACAGGTGAAGAACAAGAAGGGAGTTGAGATAATGACCAGGGTGTCCCAGCTAGTAAGTGGCAAATCTTGGGCTGAAATCCAGGTCTGTCCCTCTCAGGGCCAGTGTTCTCAGCCATTTTCCTCCACTGCATTCCTGTTGGCAGAATTCCAATCAACATGAGGGAAAATTTCCAGGTAACTAGAACCACTTAAAAAGGGATCAGATACTTTGTTAGAGAGTGAATTGCCTATCAGTGATGAATCCTGACAGACAGAGATGCTGGCTTGTATCCAGGCCTGATGACCCCACAGCTTTCTTTCTACCCTAAATTGTTGTTGTTGTTGTTGTTGTTGTTGTTGTTTTTCTATGATCTTGAGAGAAGCGAGTTTACCTATAGATGAATAGTTTGAGAAGGGGAGTATTGGTGGTGAGTCTAGTGGTTTTTAAAATCACGTTGTCCACCTAAATTCCAGCATGATGATAAACCCAAAATCCAGTTTCTTCCAGATGTTTTTCTTTCAGTCATTTATGGTAAGTTCTGTGGACATATCATGCATCTGCAGAAAGGTTTATTACTGTGTAAAAGCATAACAGTTCTGTTAGTAAGTAAAAATTATAATGCTGTACACATTTTGAAATAACAGTAAGAAATTTTAGGGCCAGCTGTGGTGGCTCGTACCTGTAATCCCAGCTACTCAGGAGGCTGAAGCACAAGAATCACTTTAACCTGGGAGGCAGAGGTTGCAGTGAGCCAAGATTTCACCAAGAAAAAAAAAATAGAGAGAGAGAAAGAAAAAAGAAATTTAAAGGAGAAGAAATTTTAGGAAAGTTGAAGGGGGAATAAAACCTTATAAAACCTTATTAACATTATATGAACCATTTTGGTATCCTCCTCTTTATAATTACAGTGAAAGTTGGGAAAATTGACTAAGGTACTTTTTGGAAGCAGGATTAGCAGAACTACCCTAGACTGACTTAAGGATAAAGATGAAGAAGGAAAGAAAAAGGGAAATCTTTCCTATTCTCTTGAGCACTCACCTTCCTCTACTCTTCCCCAGTTTCTACCACCCCCATAATCACAGTGCTTAAGAAAACCAAGTAATGGAGAAATAAGGGTTCTTGGAATATATTTCTTGATCTGGAAATTTGCGCCCAAGAGACCTTAATTTGCTGATTTATTATTTTGTTGATGAGTGAGGTCGCATGGAAAAACTTTCTGCCTCTTGGTTATGTTGGAGGAAACTTTTCTAAGCTTTAACTAGCTGACTTTTTGGTAAGCTAGAGATTATTTACTTTTAATAACAACATGCTAAGTTTCTGAAATCAGACATAGCAGAGCAGTCTCCAGAGAGCTGTGGTCCAAAGGCAGTAGCTGCATCCCTGTACAGTTCTTTTCAGATTTTCTGAAAAGATGCTTTATCTGTTAAGGTTAAGTTAACCTTGGCTTAGTGCCGTTCCTCTGTTCCTTCCACATCTCTGTCTTGTGGGCATGCCAGTTTGCATTCAAATCTGCTGTATCAGTTTTAAATCCAGTTCTCAGTCCTTTGGGTATTACATAAGAATAAATTAACTAAAGAATCCATGAAGTTTTACGTGTGATGCTGAACTAACTGGATCTGACTTCCTTGGGGAAAATGAATAGCCAGGCAGATCACATTTTAGATGCTCATTAATGACAGCTGGAACACCTCCCTCCCTTCTAAGCAGGCAAGGAACCTCCCATGTGCCAATCACTGTGCTGGCACTGGGGATACCGAGATGTGTTCCTTATTCCTTCAAGGAGCACATATAAAAACATCATAGTGTGAGATATGTGCTGTGGCAAAGTTGAGCCCCAGGGTATTCAGCAACTCAGACTACTGAAGAAAAGGGAGGGGAAGGCTGCTCTGAACCAAGTCTTGGAGGCCGCCAAAGGTGTTCACAGCAGTTGCAGAATTGGAAAAATGCACACGCCTAGTTCTGCAGGCCTGTGTAGGTCAGGACTCTGAAGGGAGATGACCCCGGAAAGGTAGGTACACCATGCTAAGGAGTTTGGACTTTATCCTAAAAGCAGTAGGAAGCCTTTGGATGGCTTCAAGAGGAAAATGATGGGATGTAATTTGTCTTTTCAAAAATAACACTTTGCTAGCAATGTAGAGAATGGGTTCACAATAGGTGAGTTAGGAAGCAGAGCAGCACACTGTTTAGAGGATGTCTTAAAAATCCAAGTGAAAAATGAGAACTCTTGATGATCAATACCTTGGAGTTGAAGAGAAAAACATAAACCAGAGACATATTAGGGAGCGAGTCTGCAAGGAACTTGCTCATGAGTGATGGATATTGGGGAACAGTGGAGGAAGCCATGGAGAATGACACCTGGATTTCTGGCTTGAGTAGGTATGGTGTCCCCTTATCAAGATGGGACTTGGGGAATTTTGGGGAATATGATGAATTCACTCAGGTGTATGAGGAATTTGAGAAGCTTGAGAACCATTCAGGAGGAGATGTCCAGGAAAGTTGGCTGAATGGGCCTGGAACTCAGGCAGGAGATGCTGAGATACAATTGTTGATTTGTCCCTTTGATGTTAGGAAGACAGTTTGGCATCATTAGAAGGATAGGGGACTGGAAACCACACTAAACAGCCTCTATTTCATTTAGAGATGATAGACCTGTGAGATGTACTGAAATGCCTGCTAGCTGAGTTTAGCAGAGAAACTGCAGTCCCCAAGGTGAACTTGGGCTTTTTCACAGTATTGTTTTCCTCTCTGTGCCCACCTTTCTTTTGAATTTTCCTCCCGGGCTTCTTGGGGTCCTGCGGCAAGAATCTCAGTTACTAGGCTGTTTAGAGGCTACATCAGTAAGGGGATGTAAGATGGCATTTTACTAACTATTCTACCTCCTCAGTAACTCCTGGAAGCGTTACTATTAGTAGTCCCATTGTACAGATAACAAAACTGAGCCTCTGAGGGGTGACATAGCTTACTTTTTAGTAAGTGGCAGAGTTGTTGATGAAGTTGCCGACTCTAAATCCCATTCTCTTTCTTCTGCGCAGCACAGACCTACACTAAAAGAAATCAGGCCTGTTAAATGCTTGAATGAAAGCCATCAGTGTTGTTAGTGGTGAAAAATGTTTTGTGGAAATGATGTGGCCTCTTAGGTGCTACCAAGAGCAATACTCTCCTTGGACTGCCCAAAACTAATTCCACTGATGCACCCGCCCCAACTCCCTGCACCGACCCCACAGCAGTCAGACCCGGAGGCTCAGGGGGGCCCTGTCCTAAGCCAGCTTAAGATGCAGCCTCTAGGGCCTTGCTTATAATTTTCCCCCTTTCTCCGGCCTTCCCTTCTCCCTACCTCTGCCCACCCCAAGCAGCCAGAATGATCCTTTAGTTTAAAGCATAAGCAAGTCAGTCCTCTGCTCAAAAGCTTCTGATGGCTTCTCATCTCACGTAGAATATAAGCCACAACCTTCAAAGCCTTCTACGTTTTGGCCTCTGGCTGCATCTATGACCTGGTTGCTGACCATGCTCACTCCACTTGAACCACACTCCGTTGAGCCTCCCTAGGTGTTTCTTGAATGCCTTTAACACCTTCTGAACACTGCAGGGCTTGTAAACTTGCTGTTCCCACTTCCTGCCATGGTTTAGCTCAGGTATCTCAGTGACTGACTCCCTTCCCCCATTCGGATCTCAGCCTCTCAGTGAGACCTCCCTGGCTACCCTGTCTAAAATAGCCCCCATCATGCTCCATCCCTTAGTCTGCCTTATTTTTCTTCATAGCACTTATTTTATATTTGCTTATTGTCATTGCCTACATGTAAGCTCCATGGGTTCAGGGGCTTTTTCTGTCCTGTTCCTATTGGGTCCCTGGCTGCTGGGATAGTGCCTGGCCTGCAGTGTGCACTCAGTGGCATTGATTGAATCATGGAATGAACACATGGATGCTGTGGTCCAGGCAGAGAGGGGACAGAGAGTGGGATCACTATCACCAAAGGAACTAAGAGTATCTTAGTCCCTCCCAAGGTGGTAAGCATTGCTGGTTCCCCAAGTCTCTGCATTTGGGGATAATTGTAAGCAGGCATCAGAAAACGTGTGTGCATCTTTCTGAGTAAGAAGCAAGTTTGTTGCTCTGATAAGGGTGGGAGTGATTTTTCCTTCTAACACACAAGTTACAGGGACAGGTTGGCCACCTCAGGAAATGGTTAACAATAGTGTCGTTTCCACTGTACTAAATCTGAAAGTCGCAGTGTTAGTGTTTGTGGAACCTGTTGAAAGTGCCTCCTGCACTGTGACTTTTTGATCCCAGAGGAAGAAGACTTTCTGTAATAACTTGGCTCTCATGAGCTGTGCTTCAGAGTATCCTTAAACAGAGCTTTCCTGGTTAGAGATTTGAACCTAAGGCCATTTTCAATGCATTTTTTCTGTTGTTCTTCCTTTAGGATCTTCTATGTCTCTCATGATTCCCAAGACTTGAAGATCTTCAGCTATATCGCTCGAGATGGAGCCAGCAATATCTTCAGGTGTAACGTCTTTAAATCAAAGAAGAAGGTAAAGAGGCGGTCGCCGTCCATCTGCTATTTTCCTGTAATAGATCCAGAGCACCCCCAACATTGGCCCGTCTCCCTGTTGAAGATGGCTGTTGTAATGCTGACATGGGGCAACTATCTCAGTAGTCTGTCATTGCTCCTATATAATGGAATTCTCTTTTAGCATCATCTGAACTTTGTACTTAGTTACATACAGATAATTGGAGAGGGATTGACCATTGACTATGTGCTCTGGGATGAGAGCAATAAACGGCACCAGGAGTGATGCTAACCTTAGCCCTGGAGTAGGAAAAAAGCGTTGTCATGTACTAAGGAGACCCTTCATCATAATTCTGTATATTGATTAGTGGGCTACAAAATATGAATACACATGGAGTCCGGTTTAGACTCAGTGTGTGATGTTGGTTATCCTGGGTGATTATTTGGTATGGCAACCCTGATACTCAAGTAAATGCAACTCTGAGGATTCTGAAGAGGCATTCTTTATATTAATGTCATTTCCCCAGGAGTCTAACACACACAACTGGGGTTTTAGAAGCCTAGAATCTAGCCCTGCCTCTCACTGGAACCCTGAGTGACATTGTGTAGGTCTCGGTGTCCTCATCTATGAAATGAAAAGAATCATCAAAATCAGCATTTCCTAAATGTGTTCTGTAAAACATTTATCAGCCAAAATGTTTCCTGTTAAAACTACCTGATTTAAGTTGCTGAGAAGGTCTGATAAAGAACATGTTGTTTAACCCAGAATTTCCCAAACTAATTTCACAATGGAACCATATTTTTTCCATGTAATATGTGTTAATATCCTGGGAACTATTTTTCCGCAGAGGAGATTTTGGAAAACACTGTATTTGTGCCCCTAAGGACCCTAATAAGTCCACCATTCTACAAACAAACTACTAAACCTGGCTTTCTACGAGAACTTCACTTTATGCTTTTATCTTCAGGCCTCTTTAATAGATATGTAGGTACCTTGTCAAGTACCTTGTCAATAACACATGCCAGGCTCCAGATTTACTGATAGGTGTCCTATTCTGTACCCTAGCTCCACAAAGAGAATTATGCTTTGTTAACTCAGCCTCTTCCTCTATGGAGATTTGTGCCCTTACCCACCCTGTTCCAGGCTTTTTAAATGCAGATCATGGAGTTGGATGAAAAGTGCTACAACTGGAAAGATGGCAGGAATAAAAGAGTAACTCGCCAGACTTCACATCTAGATAATAGTATAGCTGAGAGGGAAAAAAACATAAATGAGGCTAAGTCAAGCTGCATTAAGGAACTGATAGAAAGGGGAGTAGGAAGAGGGAGAGAAGGAAAAGCCATAGGCACTGGAGATGAGAAAGTTTAGGGTTTGGGAGAGTGAAAGGCTCATATGTGGCCTTGTGTAGGGGACCTGGGGAGGAGAGAAAAGGAAATACAAAGTGTTCCTGATCGTCATGAATTGGATCATCTGTAATGTTCTTTGACAGATGCAACAAAAGACTGGAATTCCCTTTTAATTCATTTTGAGTATTTGACTGTGCTTCTGATTTTAGTTTTGTACAAAGACTGGACCATGTGGACCCTGGAATTTATTAGCGTTACAAATAACACATAATCATTTGTCAGGTTCTTTAATAGTTAATCTTATTTTATCCTTATAATACATTTGTAAAGAAGGTAAGACATGTAATTTTCCCTTCCCAATTTTACAGATGAATAAATTGAGGCTCAGAGAGATTAAATGACTTGTCTGAGTTCTCATGAATAGGTACTGGCTAGAATAGAACCAGGAAGACATGCAGGACAAAAGAATTTTGAGCAGGAAACCTAGGTAAGAGGACCATTATATTATATTTGCCTTGCCATCAGATCTAACATAGCAATATGGACACAGTGGGGGCATCCACTTCTGACAAAACCTGAGTTTAAGAGCAGTGCTCACTTGGAACTTTGATCTTGAAGTGAAGCACAGAATGGAGTTCCCATTATCTGTGAAAAGGAGTAGTCATCTGGTTCCCTGTCATGTCAGCTTACAGCTCTTACAGCGAATTCTGATATCTAGCTCTTGTTTCCTATACCCCTTTCACCCTCACCTCCTGAGACCCTAGCTCTTCATAGAGTTGGTTCTCAGGTCCTTTCCTGGCCTGGAGCCATGCAGCTGAGGGGATTGTTTCCAGTCAGCCTGGGCGTTGAACCCCGTTGCTGCTGAGCTGTAGGTGGGAAGGCCAGTTTCCAAGCTAAGAAAGGAAAGTGAATTGTTCAACGAAGGATGCCAGAATTGGGGAGGGCTGGGGAACACATCTGCCAGGTTTTGCTTGCCCTCCTGCTTAGCCTCCAAACGTGGTGATTTACGTTTTTTATAAAGCACTTGTAATGTCAAGAGATAATGGTTAACTTGGGAAGGAGTTTTAACTGGCAAATCATAGGAATGTTTCAGAAGTGGCGGGCGATGGGGAAAGGACTGTAGAGGACATGTGTGTTGCGGAGATGTTGCTGGGTCATTGGAAGTCAATAGGGAGGCCTCTTGACTGGAAGCCCGCAGATGTGGATGTTCTCCAGAGCCCTCCTGTTGGTCATAGTGTGTAGAAAAACTTTGTCTGAGATCCTTGTTATGTCGGGACTTTGGTTATTGCTGTTTCACATCACATCATATCACCTGTGTATATGCCCATGGCACATTTCTCATGACCTCTAATGAGGTGTCATCATCACCCTCCAGTTCACATGGGGAAAGGGTTACCACCTCTGTTGGTTGAGAATATGGGTCAGGTGTCTCAGCTTTCCTGATTGATGGCCTCCCTCGACCTTGCTCCCTGCACAGCTATTACTCTGTACCTGTGAATTCCTTGGGCCACTCACACAGATAGCCAGTGTGGCTCCCACCTTGGGAGTTGTATCCTTGAGCTAAGTTTTTTTTCAACTGGGCTTTCACCAGAAGCTAGATAGCAAAATATTGAAGGAGTATAACATGATACCTGCTATGCTTCTATACTCCAGATTATCTAAGTTCCAGCCTCATATTACATCAAATAATAATATCTAACCTGTTTTGATTAGTTGCTATATGCCTGAGACTGTTCGAAGCTCTCTATATGAATGATCTAATTTTATTCCCACAGCAACCCTGTGAGGTAAAATGGGGCCTTAAGGCACGTAATGTGTGTAAAGACTCAGTAAGTAATGGAGTCAGAACTGAACCCAGAGGGTCTGACCGTGGAGCTCACACTCTTACCCACTCCATTATACTTTTGTTGTTGGCTCATGAAGAAGTTATGTAACTCAGAAGTTGCTTTGTTTTCCAAGACCCATTTGTAACTGGGTTCTGCTGTAATTATTACATGGGTATGAAGAGCTTCTTAACTCTGAATGGCCCAAATCACTTTAACATAGATTTTCCTTTTTTCCTCATAATATCCTTGTATGGTTAATATTGACTCAATTTTGTACTTGAAGAAAGAAAAGGCCCAGGGAAGTAAATCACCCTTGGTCACACAGCGAATCAGTGATGCCACTGAGATTAGAAACAGGCTTCCTCCTTCCCAGGCCAGGACTTTGAATGCTAAACCCTGTCAAACAAAACTCATATGAAAGATACATGAGCCTTTCTGGACTTGAGTTTTCTCTATCTGTCAAATAAGATGAAAGGCATCTCAGGAATGCTGATTGTTGTGTGTGAAGTGATGTGATCTTTAAGGAACAAATTCTCTATGACTGGGGAGGATTGTCAGGGTTGTGGCAGAGGGACCCTAGCACTCTTCAGACCTGTGCTAGAAAGGAGGGATGGGAGTGGGTCTTTTCCTCACTGTGAGCATCCAGTGGAGATGCTTGCTAATAACATGGGCACTCCTTGTTTCCCCTCCTTGGGGGATATAATGATAGTATTCATTTGCAGGGCCTTTTGCCTCTCGAGAAGCCTCTTGCATGGTCTCTTGACCTCTCCCGTGGAGTAGATGTGATCCTCCTGTCATTTTCTCCTAGCCCTAGGAGTATATGGCTGTCTGTCCTGATTACCAGTGACTGCACTTATTAATGCCTCAGTGCGTGAAGTGCGGGTGATTAACAGGAGCTGCAGGCATCTCCCCATTATCTTCATGGGCAGCTCCTTGAAATAATTTTGCCTGCAATCACAGCTCAATTGGTTTGGGTTAGGAGAAATAATTTCCTCCTATAATGCTGTCACTATCAAATTGGAGGCCACAGCTGTGAAGTTGAGCTATCCTTTAGAGGTTGTAATGGATTTTGAATGATAATGACAGCCATGTGGTAAAGAATAAGTCACTTGCCTGGTCAAGCTTATGAGATGAAAGATAGGAAAGTTCTAAAGTTAGGGAAGGAGTCTGTTTTTTATACTTTAGGTTGAGTTGGGAAGTCAAAATGCAGGAATCATGGGTCTCAGAACTCATCTAGTCTGAATCACTCTCTTTATGGATGAGAAAATCAATACTGAGAAAGGTGAATTAACTGTCCACAGTCACCCAGTTGGTTCTGACAGCACTGGGATTGTAACTCAGATTTCTTTTCTCTAGGGTACTATGTTTCATGGACTAGCAGAGTAGAAGGGAAAACACAGCTATCTATTGGAAACTTTAAGATGCAGTATGTCCTGTCAATGTAGAAAGTCACACCTGCTTTGAAACTAAACTTTCCTTATACTGAGCAATATTCTGATGTCCAAGGCATCACCTCAACCAAATTATATAACCGAATCCATTAAATAATGTGTTGGACAAAAACCTAACCCATCTACCATTTTAGAGCCTTAGTACTGTAGATCCTACTGTGTATAGAAGTCCAAATATAAATGTATGTTCATGCTTTGGCATTGTAAATTCCATAGATTAAGATCATTTGATAGATATAAGCTGAATCTTTTACTAAGATTCCCGCCCCCCCAGCCAAAAAAATACATTAAAGAAACATGACATTCCGTTCTATTTTTGTTGAGATTCCATGGCAGTTAAGGTCAAGATAAGGACATTATCTTTTATTGCTGTGATAGATGAGAATTATAAATCTGTG